CTGCTGTGTTCATCCAGCTCTACACCTTGTTATCTCAGATTCGCCGGGATCTGCAGTTCCTGCTATCTCTAAAATATTTTTGTACTCTGTTCTTCCACTGATAAAACTGAAAATCTCAAATCCTTCCATAGCAGCCTTCTTATTTTAGATTACTATTTCTTGGAAAGTTGGAGACAGATAAAGAATGGGATTTTCCTGAGACCTTTGAGAACCAACATTGGAATTAAATGGAGCTACCCAGCCTACATTTGACAGCAGCACACCAGTGGCATAATCTTCCAGGAGGCAGTTTCCTAATTGATCGTCTCTGGGTTTGCTGCCCTATTAGGGAAGGTGGACAGATTTTTGATGCTGCTGATCCAAACAGAGGCCCCATAGCTGAGGAGCATCAGCAAGATGGGTGCTGTTGCACCTCAATGGGGAGTCATTCATGCAGTTCCGCAAAACAATAAATAAAAGGGATCAAGGCTGGTAGGTCAGTCAGGGTAGATGTCAAGTCCAGTATGACTCTTCATTTTGAAAAGTCATAATGGATGCAATGTACATTTTGTTTCTGTCCCCATGGATGCTGCCAGATCTGCTGAGTTTAGATCTGCTGATCTTGGTTTTATTCTGCCTGCTTGACCAGCTCAGCTCTGTTGTGACTGTCCCAATCATAATCCAAGTCAAAAAACATACTCTGCAAAGATGATATTAGTAGATCACTATCATTAACAAAGTCTTTTTCTTGGATATAGTATCACTAAATGTCATTCATACATTGCCTAAATCACCTCCTTAATAGCAACCTGGAAGAGCTGTTGAAATGATCTGCATTTTATATTATTTGCCCGTGGGTTTAGCTTTACATTGAGAGGTATACTCTGTTTTCCAGGTTCTATGGGAAATGCTGACAAGAGAAATCCCATTTAAAGGACTTGAAGGTTTACAAGTGGCCTGGCTAGTCGTGGAGAAAAATGAGGTACGTTGTATATTTTGATTATTAGTTTACAAAACCTTGTTTCTAATGTTATGTTTTTATGCGATTAAATGTTTGATATATCTATTGAACATACATCAAACACACCACCCTCCCTTTCCTGTAGTGTAATGATTGATTTACTGAGTTTGTAGTTCTGACTCTGGAATAGTAATGCACCGAACATGGCATTTTTAAATCTTAAGTTCAGTTTTTAAAAACAAGAATTGAAATAGAGGTTTTAATAATAAAAGTGAATATGAAACTGTTGATTTTCTGGAAAATCCCAACCCATGTATTAAGTAATGGGGGAGTAAAAGATACATTTGGTCAAGTTTTTTTGTTGTGCACTGATTGGGACACTCCCAATACCAATGCAAAGGCGAACAACAAGTGACGATTGGTGGGACTTGGACTCTGGTAATGGTGTCGCCCAAATGGCGATTTAAAATTGATCATCAGGGTAATTCTTAGCTCACTCAGGATTATTTAAGCAAATGTCATCAAATCTGAGAATCTCATCTAATGTTGACTATGTGTTCGAGTTTTGCAAGCACAGGCCTGTTAGATAAAATCGGTATCGTGCTTGTTCTGAACAACTGATGAGACGTGTTGTTTATTACAATTCACCAGTTTTTGGGATGCATATCTGGCATCACGCCAACACTAGAATACATTTACATGTTTTTCATTTGTGAGATATGGAGAATGTGTTTTTGGCTTGATGGCAGCATCCTGTTAGTGGCAAACAATCCTTATGTTAATAACAAAAACTAAAATTGGAGAAACTCGGCAGGTCTGGCAGCATCTGGGGAGAGAAAGCCGAGTTAACATTTCGAGTACAGTGTCCCTTTTTCCAACTTGTGTTGCTGCTGCAGCGTAGTTGCATGAAACAGCTGTTGTTCAATTTGTTTTTCAGATAACTTGTCAAAAGACTGAGCATTTTTCAGGACAGAGAGACCGGATTAATCAACACTTGGAAAGGCAGGGATTGATCAGGGATAGTCAGCACAGATTTGCTGGAGGGGAGACCCTTTCTGACTAATTGTGTTTTTTTTTGAAAAAGTGACTAAATATATTGATGAGGATAGTGCAGTTGATATGGAGGGTAGTTTTTGTGATTGGAAGCCTGTGACCATCAGTGTATCACTGGAATCCACTGATACTGGAATCCTTGCTGTTTATGTACATTCACAACTAGAATGTAAATGATGAGGGTATAATTAGCAGATGACAGGAACCTTTGTGATATTGTTGATCATAAGGGAGATGATCTCCAGGCTACAGTCTGATATTGATCAGCTGGCAAATTGGGCAGCTAATCCTGATAAGTGTAAGGTGATGTATTTTGGGAGGTCTAATAAAGGGATGATTTACATAATGTATGGCTGGAGTCCCTAGGGAGTACTGCGGAACAAAAGAACCTTGATATACAAGTCCCAATGTTCCTGAGGTGTTAGCACAAGTAGACAGGGTTGTGAAAAAGGCATATGGGATGCTTGCCTTCATTAGCCACCGAGTAGAATGTAGGAGCAAGGAAGTCTTGTTACAATGTTATAAAACATTGGCTAGGCCAAAGATGTAATACTGAGTGCGGCAACCAGGATGCTGCACAATCGGAAGTACATGATTGCACTGGAGAGGCTGTAGAGGAGATTCACCAGGATGTTGTCCCGGGATGAAAAATCTCGGTTATGAGGAGAGACTGGATAGGCTGGGTTTTTTTTCCCTTTGAGCACAGGAGGCTGAGAGGAAATCTGACCGAGATTCACAAAATTAAGAGGCATAGACTGAGTAGATTGTGAGAATCTCTTTCCCCCAAGGCAGACATGTCTAAGACCAGAGAGCATAATTTTAAGATGAGGAGTAAGAGGTTTAGAGGGGATCTGAGGAAACATTTTCTCTCCCAGATGGTGGTGCAAATGTGGAATGCACTGCCTAAGAGAGTGGTGGAGCTAGGTACTCTCACAACATTTAAGAAGCATCTGGACAATACTTAAAATGCCACGGGATGTTAGGCTATGGACAAGGACACGTAAATGGGATTTAGTATAGTTTGGTTTTTGTTGGTTGGCATAGACTTGATGGGCCAAAGTGCCAGTTTCTATGCTGTATGACTCTCTATGAAAGTAGTGGTCATAATTTACATAATGAACAGCAAGAAATGATCTGCTTCAGGTAGCCAATATCTTATAGGATGACTTTACATACTACTTCAGCATCAACCTCATATGGTGAGCAAATGGCTTGGGTCCTAGTTATGAGTATTTAAATTGAAACCATGTGCAGGAACAGGTACTTTGTTTTCAGAGAGTACATGATCAGAAAGATTTATTGTGTTTAGTAGCATTGTTAATTGCATTGCCAAACAACTTCTGTTTAAGTGAATTTGTGGTGCAGGAAGTTTCAAATGGATACCAGTTATCATGTGGTAATTAATTGAGGGAATGTAAATGGCATCAACAGGTCAAATCAAAAAATGAAAGAAGCTCATGCGCTTCGTGTATAGTTATGGAATAAATTTGTAATCTGATTCCCAAACTGCTCAATTTCATCTTGCATAAATGCTCACTCAATCATGGGATTCTGTCACACTTCAGCAAGCCACGAAGCTGTTCTGCCTCTTTCTCAAATAATTAATGTAGAATATGAATTTCAGTACTGGGATGGTGTTGATGCTGGTTTCAACTAGACAGAATAGTGACAGCCATTCTCTGTTTCATTCCTCAGGATAATTTGTTAACCAATCAATGTCAACCAGTTCTTGGTTTACATTTACGTAAAACTTGGCTGTTAACTGTCAGTTAACGTTCAGCCTAGATGATCCTACAAAGTTTTCGTCATTAATATCTGGAGGCTGATTCCATAGATGTTCAAGCAATAATTTTGTCAGAACCATTCTGCAGCTAGGTTCACTCATTTATTATGGTTCCAGACAGTATAACATAAATCATTCCAGATCCTGGGTAAGGAGGAATGAACTTGCCGCCTTCCATATTCGTGTTCCCCTCGTTTGGTCGCACTTACTTTTTAAATTAACACTAATTAAATTACTCCCTCCCCCAGACCAAATAAATTCATGATTGAAAAGAAGCCAATTTAACCAGGCTTTCTTGAGCTAATGGAAGAGTAAGTTTACTCATTACTAAGTGCAAGAAGAAACAATAATGTTACACCGATTAGAAATGAGAGGTCATTCCAAAACAAAAGTGTTTTTTTTTTATTTTTAAAAAAAAAGTATGCAGTCCTGTCCCTGAGTTTTGTGAAGGGTAGGTGATGGGATGTTGGGTGATACTGATCATGCTGTTGCTAGGTGAGCAGTTGGTTTTGAATGCTTGGCTTTGCAGGTCAGCGGAAAAGCCTTTGTCCTTTTTTCCTTTCAGCAATTTCCTTTTGCTTTCTGGCATCCAGCAAAGAGAGGGTACTTCCTTTTTTACCTGCAGCATAGGTCTCAACTGTGACCTTTACAACACACACACTTTCACCCATTAACACACACAGACCAGGGTTGAAAGTGGGTTTCAGTGACTGTATGTTCGTATTCTTGAAAGGGAAGATGCAGATGTGCCTCTCGTGCAGATTGCTCATTTTTGCTCCAATTATGTTTCATCTGCAATAATGTACAGGAAATTCCAATTTAGTTTACATGCAGTATTACCGTTGATGACCTTCTTCATATAATTTCCTTGACATTCATTGGGTGTAACATTCCAGGGTCTCCCTTGAGACCGAGGATAATCTACACAGGTCTTCTGTACACTGTCTGAATCACATTGCTCAGAATTTAGATATACAGTGTTTTAATTTTTGGTTGTGTGTCCTCCTTTTAAAAAACAGTTAAAAGTTCAATATGACTACTGGTCATGATTTGTTGCTATAATAATAGTCCTACTCATCAAACCATACCCATTGGCCAAATTCCTAGATTGTCCATCACTAACTCTTCCCAACCTACAGGACAGACCCATCTGAGATGGTGGCACCTGTGCTATGCAGTCAGTTGGCAGGAGGAATGGCTTTAGGAGTGCTTGATATTGATGCTTAATCCTTTGAAATCTCTTAGCTTCAGATCAAATATAAGCAGGGAAACAACTTGCAGGTTAAGTCTTTTTTTTTAATCCTTTCATCGGATATGGGTATTGATGGTTCGGCCAGAATTTGTTGCCCATCTAATTGTCCTTGAACTGAGTGGCTTGCTCGGTCATTTCAAAGGACAGTTCAGAGTCCATCACAATACTGTGGATCTGAAGTCACAAGTGGGCCAGACTCAGTAAACACAGCAGATTTCCTTCCCTAAGGGTCTCAATGAAACACCCAGATTTTTCTAACAATCAGTGTTTGCTTAATGGTCACTAAGACTACCTTTCAATTCCAGATTTGTAAAAATTAGTTACTTTGAATTTAAATTCCAACAGTTGGTATAGTGAGATTTGAAGTAATGTACACAGGGTATTAACCTGGGCCTTGTAACTATTAGTTCATTGACATTACCACAACAGATCTCCCATGCTGTTCTCTCTCACCCCACGAATAACTTTTTTTTAAATTGAACACTATTGACGGAAGTATAAGGTGGTTGGTAGGACACCATATGTACTCTGGGTGATTGCCTTCCCCATCTATATCACCAAGAGTGGCTCAGTAGTTCCATCAGAGATTGTGTTTGCTGTGTCAAGAAAGAAATAGTTGCTAAAATGTATTTGTAGCCAGCAGAATGAGAACAAATGAGAGAATAATCAACTTAACCTCATTCTGGCCAATCTTGTTATACTAGATGTATCTATGCACAACAGTATCTGTAAGGATGTCTATGGAATAATCCCTGTGGAGATCAAGTCCCCTCTTTAAACAGAGGGCACCCTTCCAATGTAATGTGAAGCACTGTCATTGTCTAAGTGGGATAGATTAAGAATGCTGGACGATTGAGGAAGAGATTTGTATTCCAAAACAACTTGTAATCTCATGCCCAGGTTATCCATAATCTCATCAATCCAGATGACCAA